AGTATTATAAGCTAGAAATTCTCCATATAATATTGAAACTGAAATGGTTGTTATTCATGTAGTGTTATGATCATTTAGTCCTTGTTGCAGAATCCTCCGGTCGTCAATTCTGGGGGCCTATTAATTGGTTTAAAATTATACTTTCTGAAGACTTGTCTAGCAGGTACAATTTCTCAATTTGATTCAATTTTGAATTGATTTTGTTGTATTTTCTTTTGAATTTGATGAGATTTTAGTTTTGATCTAAAAAAAATGAACAAACTTGATGAATGGGTCGAGTGAAGTTGGGTTTGTGAACCAAAGAACCTTTCTAGACTCGATTCAATTCAACCTGTGTACACTTCTTACGTCTCCTCTTATTATATTATTATTATTCCTTTCCCATATCTGTCTCATCTCCCCCTCAATTTATTTTATTACCGTACCCTCTCCCATTTTTTCGTCTATATAATTTCAATTTTTTTTTTAATAATTTTATTTAGATTATGTGTTTTTCTTGTTATTTAATTTATTAGGCTTGGTAAAAAAAAACCTAAATTCTATTGAAATTTGTAAATTTATTGACGTTTTTATGTTCTTTTATGTTTAAATTTGTACGTCAAGGTAAAAATTTGAAATATTTGCCTATTGGAGTCCGAATTTTAGTATTAAGTTTAGAGGGTAAATTGATAGAATGTAATAATTTTGAGGGTAAATATTAAGATTTTGGTAAAATTTAAATGTATTTATTTATATTATTAGGAAAGAGAAAAAAAGGGGGTGGGAAAGGGTAACAAAACAGTTGCATTTTGGTAATGGGTTAGTTTGGATTGGCTGATTGCATGGACTAACCCATTGTGGGCCCCACTTAATGATTTCTTTTTTTAAATAAAATTAAAAAAAAAAAAAACTATTTGTTATTTTCTACCAGCAACTGCACCGCCCCCACCTTTGCTCGTACTTCCTTTTTCATATTTCCACATTTACCCCTTACCACCTCAATTAATCCCTTCGGTGTTTTTACAATATCTAATCTTTTCATTAATACATTCTTAAACTAGTTAAATTGTGTTAAGGTTTATTTTGTTGATAAAACAAAAAAAAAAAAAAAAATCACTTGGAAGCAGCCTTATTAAGTTCACGTTAGAGGGTACAATAGTAATTTTACATATTGTCTTCAAAAAATATTTAGCTCAATTGAACTGACGGAAGATTCTTATGTATCTATGGTTTACTTCCTCGTTTGAAGTTGTTTTAAAAGTGAACTATCACACAAACAAGTACAAGTAATTCTAGTATGTTTTAGAAGATCAAGCAACATAGAATTGGTCAAATAAACACATTGAAATTTTAATGATTGAGCCACCAAAAAGCAAATACATTTTGTTGGTATAGATAGTAATTATAAATTTCTTTAAGTATTTCTTAATTATTTAGAACGAGTCATTTATTAAGAAAAAAAATATATTATTCTTAAAAAAAAAAAAAAAAGAGTGAATGGCATAATGGTAATTAAAGTGGAAAAAGCGAGGGAAAAGAGAAAGAAAAGGGAAGGGGTAGAGTAACAGTACAGATCACGCAGCTATGTATCAGAAAAAATACGGAGATTATGAGTGGGCCCCACACCTACTGGAATCTCTCTCTCTCTAACAAACTCTCTCTCTCTTTCTAACGACACTCAGTTTTCCTTACAAAACAAGCAACCATTCCCACTTCCTTCTTCTTCTTCTTCTTCTTCTTCTTCTTCTTCTTCTTCTTCTTGATCTTTCAAACTCTCTCTCATGATCTTTACAGTCAGCTTCCATGGAGGAAACAACGCTGAGTGAACCTTCTTCAAGCTTCTTCTTCTTCTTCTTCTTCTTCTTCTTCTTCAGATTTGTGATCGGCTGATGTGAATCGAAGACCTCCATTCCATAGCTTTCTTTTCTGTTTTGCTTCAGAGAAAATAGGTTATGGTTTTTCTTTCTTTTCTGGTTTCGTCTTTTTTAGAGGCCTTTTCTTTTCTCTGACATCTTTGTTTCTTTCCTTTTTCTAACATTTGCTTTAATGCCGGAATCACAGTTTTCGTACGACAAAAATGTATGAAGAAACTGCCTGTTCCGATCCCAATTCCATGTCAGCTGAACCTACACCACCTGTTGTACCAGATGCTTCTCAAAATGGCTTTCCTCAAACAATGGCGCATATTCCCGCTTTGCCTTCGTTTCCTCCTCCTCCTCCACTCATAGTCGCCGGTGGTCAAGACACCCATGCCAATTTTGATGACAATAATCTCAATCTTTCCATGGAGGAGATTTCTTACCACCACCACCACCGCAGCGGCGGCGGCGGCGACGCCATGGAACTCGAGTTTCAGCAGCAGGGGGTGGGGTTTGATAACTGTAACATGAACCCTAGTTTTGGTCAAGAAGTAAGTTCTGATTCGAATCGGATGGTTTGTCTTGATCAATCCGCTTGGGTTGGGTCGCAAATTCAAGAAATGGGGTTTAATCACCATCTGATTCAATCTCAAGATCATCAGTTTTCAGATTCCGCCATGGCGGCTGCCTATACTCAAGCTCCGGACCTCTTAAACTTCTTCAACATGCCAGCTGCTAGATGCTCCAACAACTCTTCCATCTCCTTCTCCAACAACACCATCTCCAACCTCCACTCCTCCGCCATGGGGGGGTTTCTTGCAGACCTTCCCGCCGGCGACGGTAGCAACCCATCATCGACTTCGCTTTCAATACTCTACGACCCTCTGTTCCACCTGAATCTGCCACCACAGCCGCCGCTGTTCAGGGAGCTGTTTCACTCTCTTCCTCATGGATACGGTCTGCCGGCGGCTAGCTCCAGAGGTCGGGGAGGGAGTCTGTTCCCGGAGGGGGAGATAATGGAGAGAGAAGGAACTGCCGGAGTTTATGAAGACGGCGATGGAAGTGGAGTTTTGGAGTTCAGTAGGGATATGGCGGATTGCATTGGAAAAGGGAGAGATGGGAAAATGACCAAACATTTTGCCACTGAACGCCAAAGAAGAGTTCAATTGAATGACAAATATAAAGCTCTCAGGAGTTTGGTTCCAAGCCCTACTAAGGTTTTTCCATCTCCCATTAACTTCGATTTCCTTTCTGGGTATGGCTGAATCAAGCTGTTTTAATTCTTGAACTGCCATTATTATGATTATGATTATGATTATCCTTCTTTGATCTTGAACTAAAAACTTGTAGACTGTTCTTGAGTATACTATTTTTGGACTTTAATTTGATTTCTGGGTGTGGCTTAATCAAGCTTTATCTCTCTAATCCGCCATTAATGTTCCTTCCTTGAATCTTAAACAACAATCTAGACTGAAGATTCACTGTTTTATTGAAAATTCCTTTCTGGGTATTGATAAAATCGAGCTCTCTCTTCCTCTCTCTCTCTTTAACCTACCATTTTTGTTGTTGTTGGATCTTAAACCAAACACCAGACTGATAGGGCATCAATTGTGGGAGACGCCATAAATTACATAAAAGAGCTTCTGAGAGAAGTGAAGGAGCTGAAACTACTGGTGGAGAAGAAGAGATGCAGCAGAGAGAGGAGCAAGAGGCACCGGACGGCGGAGGAAGACGGCGGCGCATGGGATGTGGAGAGCTCAAATGCAAAGACAGGTGCTGTGGGAGATGGCGGTGAGGATCAAAGCTACAACTTGAGGAGCTCATGGCTGCAGAGAAAGACCAAAGACACTGAAGTTGATGTGAGAATTGTTGACGATGAAGTCACCATAAAGCTTGTGCAGCGCAAACTCAACTGCTTGTTGCTTGTCTCTAAATTGCTTGACGATCTTCAGCTTGATCTTCACCATGTCGCCGGCGGCCACATTGGCGATTACTACAGCTTCTTGTTCAATACCAAGGTTCGTCCCAAACCAAAACTTTTTCCTTTTCTTCCGGTTCATTTTTTGAATGACATTTCATAAACGTCTTAAAATTGACTTTAAAGTAGAAATTGACTTCAAAGTAGAAATCCGTTAGATGTTGGACGATAAATTGGGTCATGAAGTGGTCTACTGATGAACAATGCCACCCGATTTCGATTTCAAATTATCTGATTTTAATATTCATCTAACATTCTATTAGATTTGTTCCTGGGTATTAGTTTTTGAGATTTTTGTGAAGATTATTACTTATGAATATTTTTAAAACAACCCTGATTTATTTTAGTTATTCCTAATTGAGGGAGTAAATAATAATAATAATAATAATGTAAAAGTGTTTGGAATTGATCAGATATATGAAGGTTCATCAGTGTATGCAAGTGCCATAGCCAACAAGGTTATGGAGGCAGTGGACAGACAGTACAACAACACCAACAACACCGCCAACACATCCATCACTCCACACACCAATACCTATTAATTAGTGTTCTTCTTCTTCTCATCAAACCCTAAACCCTAAACCCTAATTGTTTTCTAATTTCTAATCTTAATTAGTTTCTATTACTTAATACAGTTGGTCCCACTACCACTTATCTCTAATAAAGCTTCTCTTTATTTCAACAGTTCTGGTTTTTTTTAGTTCATCATCTATACACTATACACATGAGGTGAGAGAATTGAATCTAATTTATGCAATAATAAAGTCTTTGTTCTGTTTTTGTTTGTCAATAAGCTTATTAAGCTTCTAGATAACTTATGATTTGTAAATAGATTACTTAAAATCATTATACGACTAATGCTTTGTTATTTAGATATAGATAACGAGAATATTTTTTCAAAGAAAAACAGACGTAATTACATGTTCCCGCTGAAGAATGGTATGTGCCTCAAGACTTTGCAAGTCTTGATCAAAGCAAACATGCTCTGGTAACATCTAATACCCGAATATATTACTCAATATGTTTTGGAGCGATTAAACTTCAGTTAGATTGAGACATTTTTTAGATCAAATCTACGCTATAAAATATTGGGTTGGGCTCGGTTCTCTCTTCCTTTACCCTTTGTTACGTCTGTTTGATTGCATCAACCAAAATTTTCACAAGACACAGTTATGCTTCAATACTTCAGCCTTAACAGAGAGATTCTCGACCAAGTCTCAAATTCATGTCCCAATCAGACTGAATGGGTCAAAAGAACATGTCTACAATTGTATCATCCATCTAGAAAGCGAATAATTCTTTTAACTAAAAAACTTGCTCGAATAGCCCAACGTACCCGGATTCCTCGTGGTAGAATACGTACACATATCACAGTAATTCTTTTATACCTGAAACACAAGAGTCCAATGCTCATTTCAAAGGTTCATACCTGAACTCATTCATTTTTCATACAAAATATATAATAACAGCAAATACATAGTTCTTAGTTTTCCTCATTTTCCAACATTCCCATGTCATATTCTCCAAATAACAACAATTGTGTTCATTCATTCCATCGCAGTAGCTTTCTGAATTCAACCGGTGGGATTAGAGGATTCAAACTTCTGACCTCTTGGTCGAGAGGATATAACTAAACCAATTAAACTATCCTCATATAGGCACTCCACTGTGATAACAAAATCAAACAAAAAAAATAGTCTCTCATGTTTTTACATCCATGTCTCTCCTCTCTCCCCCAAAAAAGGAAAAAAAAAAAAAAAAAAAAAAAAA